GAAGATCCATGCAGTAGCAAGCCACAGCAGGATTTAGGGTATGCTTAACCTGCTGAGAGCCAGTTCAGTGTAGCAGTTAAGGCATCAGGCTAGAAACCGGGAGTTCTAGTCCCACCTTGGGCATGAAGCCAGCTGGGTGACCTTGGGTCAGTCGTGCTTTCTCAGCCCAAAGAAGACAGGGGCAAATCACTTCTGAAATCTTGCCAAGAAAACTTCAGGGACTTGTCAGGCAGTCGCCAGGAGTCAAAAACTGACTTGAAGGTACACACACAAAAAGCCCCTCTGCTAGTTTACTGGTGCATCCGTCTTTCCCCTTAGTTTTGCCTGTTTCAGGATACAGTGTTGTTTGTGAAATAATTTCCAGAGGGGACTGGAATCTCTAAAATGAATTGTTGGATGGATGCTGTAGTTTTACCTTGCCTCTTGCTGAACAGGTGCTTTTCTGCTGCTGTACCTGCTGCTCCTCTTCATCATTGGAATCCCTCTCTTCTTCCTGGAGCTGGCAGCTGGGCAGATTATCCGACAGGGCAGCATTGGCGTCTGGAAGCACGTCAGTCCCCGCTTAGTAGGCACTGGCTTTGCAAGCTGCGTGGTGAGTGCCATATGGCCATTCTTCTAAATTTGATATTGATTGATGTCTTGAAAAAAGAAAAAAAAAGGCCTTCAGAATAAACCAACCTGTAAGGAAAATATTAACCAGTTAATCTTTCTAGTAATCAAAAGGAACTTTTTACTCTTCTTAACCTATCTATCTCACCTATGGGTTGGGAATGTTTAGCCTCTGCCACCTATGAGCTTATTTCTGTGATCTAAAAAAGAGACTGTATAAAATCAGATGAAGGGTTTACCAGCTGTGGGTGGGCACAATGTGTGGCCCTCCAGATGTTATTGAATTTCATCTCCCAGCATACATAACCATTGGCTGTACTGGTTGGTAATGCTGGGAGTCATCGTTAGAAGGATCTGGACCGCCACATGCTCTGCATCCATGAGAGTATGCGCCTGCTTCTCCCACCAGCCGGCAAGGAAACATACAAGGAAGATTTGAAGAAGTCAGTCTTCTGCTGCTACTATTCCTCCCATCCCTAGAACTGGTATTCAAAGTTATGAATGTGAAGTTTCCATTGAGTTCACATAACCAACAGTTATCTCCTGTGAAATTGTCTAGGTCCACAATAGAAACCATTTATGGTAGTGACTATCAGCAGGTGTTGACCATCACTATGTTTGGTAAAAATGAATTCTGTAATTATTTTACCTAACTAGCATCAGAATAGTGGAATTGTTGTAGAGAAGGCCCCTTAGTCCTGGTTTCGTGGTAGATTGGCCCATTGTCTGTCTGTGACCATTGATGTAAACAGATGTAGTTAGCTTTCTCTACTAAATTCCTACATGGCCTCATCCTGAAGCAGTTACATCTTCATACAGGGACAACACTCTGCCTATAGACAAAACTATAGTTTCAGTTTTAAAAATGCTTTTAACAAATATGCTTATGATATGCCACTTCTTTTTATAGAAAAAGTAGCCATGGGATTGCGTAGAAAAGTAGAGAATCCAGATTATTATGTAGGGGGAAAGGGATGAGTGGAGAAGCAGGGAATCCAGATTGTGACCATTGTATAGGAGGAAGGGGTTAACTGCTTCTCACCCCCATGTGCCTTGAAAAGCAAATACCTCTTTCCTACTGAAAATTACCCCCAATCTGTTTGTGCTGCAAAATATCTCTTAAACAGAGGTGCATAACCTGAATTTTTTGGATGATATGTGGTCCCAAAAGTATCTGTGACATTCCATAGTGCCTCAGTGTCTTCAGATGTTTTCAGATTTTGATTTCTTCAATGCGACAGAAGGGAAAGAAAACATGACTGGAGAGCTTCTTTATTAAAATATTTCATTTTAATTAATGAAAACATAAATGAAATCAAATCTAATTTAGTTTTTGTTGTAGCCTACTCCCTACTGCTTGGAGTGTAATCCTCAGCCTGGAAAAGCTTAGAACTGCCAGTCCCTCTATCTGGGAAAAGTTGCACGCTTCTGTTTTGGAAAAAGGTTACAGAAGAAGTTTAGCATGTTCTAAACACGTTTCCTTTTAAACCTTTTTGACGTAATTTGTAGTTTGTGTGCAAATGGTTGCTCATCATCAAAGGCAGCTGCATCCATGCCCAGGGACGATGTGGAACACTGATTTATTTTGTTTTCCCTTTAGGTGTGTTCCTTCGTTGCCCTATATTATAATGTCATTATTGCATGGAGTCTTTTCTACCTGGGTAACTCTTTCCAGTTTCCCCTCCCGTGGAGTAATTGCCCCGGAGCAGAAAACGAAACAGCTGTAGGTAAGTGGGAACACATGAAACAACAGGCATATGTGGGCTTTTCTTTTGTGGCATAACTTAAAGACATCTCAGCACCACAGAATTATGTTGCCTTTAACAAGGATTCCTCCACTCAGTTCCCAACCCTGGAACCTGGGGGGGGGGGACTATGGTTTTCCAGCTGCTTCCCTCCCAACTGATGACAAGTTCCAAATTCTCCTAAGGTTCCTTAAAACGCTGATATCAAAATATCAGGAGTTGGTCAAATAGATCAATCCCAACTGTGGTTTGGCAACTATAGGATGGCTCTAACTCAAAGTGAAAGCATCTTTTTCACACACAGTTTCTAGGTAGGCCTGAGAATAATGCTTGTGAATCACAGAGACCTGCTATTAGTCAATGTGGACAAAAAAGAGACAGACGTTCCTCTTCCCAATGCCATGAAATGTCATCTCCTGGAAGCAGAAGGAGGAAAATAAGGATAGTTTCTCCACTATATACCCATCTCTACAAATTGTCTGAGAGTAAATTAACAGTGATTCCCCATCAGGACTACAATATCTGGACTGCAGAAATACAGGCAACCATTAGAACAGTATTTCTCAACTGTGGCAACTTTAAGATGAGTGGACTTCAACTCCCAGAATACCCCCACCAACATGCTAGCTAGGGAATTCTGGGAAATGAAGTCCACCCAGTTGCCAAGGTTGAGAAACCCTGCATTAGAGGATGAAAGTGATTCAAAAACCACAATTGCTGCCATCTAGTGGTCATGAAGATCTTTGTAGTCCAGATACAGTATGTCTCTTCTGTATGGTAATGCATTACTATATTATTCAGCAGAGTTTTTCCACAGACAAGCTCTTTCTACAATGTTTAGTCACGAGCAAGTCATATTAAAAAAGATCCTCTGCAATGTTATTTATGGCTTTCTCTTTTATTATTTTCTGTTTTGGGTACTTTGGAAATGGGAAGAATTTTTGTAACTTGTTGTTACTTAGCCAGCTGCTGTCTGGGAAAGAAAGAAGACTTTACCATTTTCCATATAATAGTTTCTCTGTTTTCCTTTATAACAAAATAGATCTCTTTTGAAATACATAAAGGAAAGTAGAAATTATCATGCATACATGCACTCGTAGCTCAGAACAGAAGCTGATTAAATAAAGAGCAGTTTATCATTAAAATTCCTCAATGATTCTGAAAAGAAGCAGTAACAAGGGCAGAAATTGGAAGAGAGAAACTTTTAATTATAGCTGATTGCCTTTGTGAAAAGGCTCAACAATGTTTTGCCTGTTCACCCTGGAAATCTGGCATGGCACTTGAATTGTTTAAAAAAAAATCACAAGAACAAAAAATCACGTCAGAAGCTGCCTTACGATGAATGGGCTGTTGGTCCATCCAATGTCATGTGCCCCCAAAAGTATCAGTGTTTGCAGGTTTTCAGAGAGAAATTTTTCCCAACCCTACTTGCCATCAAGAAATAGATCACAATTTGAAATTGAGACCTTCTGCCTGCAGATGTGCCCTCTACCTCTGCAGTCTGCAAAAACACATTTGAACGCAGTCAAATTACATTTCAAGAGAAAAGAGTGCGGAAACTGAAGACTGGAGAATACAAGCCCCAAGTGGAAAATCCCTCATTGTCTTTTCTGAAAACACTTCTGCATTTGTATAGTCAATTGGGCGGAGTGACTGAAAGAAAAATGGCTACGCAAATAAACTTACCCTGTGTTCATGTCTACAGTACTGTGCTAAAGTCAGTTCATTTTATTTATTTATTTAATTTCTCCCCGCCCATCTCCCCCCAGTGGGGGACTCTGGCCGGCTCACACAAAGCATTAAAACAATAAATACATATAAATACATATAAATACATAAAACATAAAGAATTTATACAAAACATTACCAAAAAAGGAAAAGTCCAAGAAAATGATGGATCTGGGGCTGAAGACATTATAAGCTTAGCAGTTCCAAAATTACATGGAACTGCCATGAAATGAGAAAAAGAAACATCCATTTTGATGAGAGACATTCTGGAAATAAGTATGTATTGGATGTACTTGACAAACATGAACTTCATCTGTAATACTCCAAAATAAATGTCCTGTTCTCTATCACAGCATCCTTGGAAAGGGGAAACTAGTGATTTGCCCCTAACCAATCTCCCTCTCTCTCTCTCTCTCTGTGTCCGGTCATAGAATCTGAATGCACGGACAGTTCTCCCACTGTCTATTTCTGGTACCGAAAGGCCTTGCACATTACCAGCTCCATAGAGGAGAGTGGGGGTCTTGACCCAGCCCTTACTGGCTGCCTCTTTGCTGCTTGGGTTCTGGTTTGTCTCGCCATGATCAAAGGCATTAAATCATCTGGCAAGGTGGGTTGTGACTTCTCTTCTGTCTTTATCCAAACGTATCCAGTCAGAGGCTTCATCACAGACATCCCATCCATTTCCTTGCATGTACCTGTCTTGCTTTCCTCAACCTAGCAGCCTCTAGATAGGGTGTGTTACAAATGCTCCCAGGTTCAGCTTATGGTCACTCACTCGCTCACTCACGGCCTGTTGAGACTCGTGGATCTTGTAAGCCCCCTTGCTTTCTACCTGGGTTTTCCAGAGAGCAGACAAGACACCCAGCCCTGGGCAACAACCGAACACTGAGGCACAACAGGTTCTTTGGAATACACAGAGACCCGGTGAATTTAAAGTAACAGCAAAACTTTATTGGTTACAATGTACATTTGCTCTTTCTCAACACACGGACACACACTCATTCACACCCACATCCTTCTCAACTAGGCTGCCAGGCACTAGCTAGAGGGAGGTAAGCCGCCAAGTCTGGATCCAAAGGCAACTCAAAGACGACTCGAGTGGGCGGGCTTCAGGACCCCTTTTATCCCCAAAAGTCCTTGCTTTGTTGATTCACAAGACTGGCAGCTGCTCTTGCCTTGTTAATTTACAAGTCTGATAGCTGTTGATGGGGTTGGGGAGAGGTTTCCATGTGTTGCCCAACTTCCTTTGTCTAGTTCAGGTGACATTTTTTTCTTTGTTTCCTTAACAATTTGTTTCCTTGTTATCTATCTCCCTGAAGGGATTTTTTAAGATAAGATTCCTGACTTTTGTCCTCTCTGCTTAGGTGCCTGCTTGATCTTTTAGTTATGGCAGCTTCAGCCTAGTCTCACAGGTGGACTACAACTTTCCTCTCCGCTAGCTGATCTTTGGGCTGAGGAAATTTGCATTTGCTTTTGGGATTCCAGGGACAAGGGCAGTTGGGGAAGAAGGGGAAGAAGAGGCATAAGAAGGGAAGCCAATAATTTGGACTGTGGACTGAATGAGGGGAAGTGTGGAGAAGGGAAGGATCTTCACATGGCTCATTCATAGGAGGAGATAGAATCTATCTGGACATGTTGGAAGGGAAAACCATCTTTTGGAAGGAAGAGGCAGCTACCGAGAATCAGTACAGGCAGGATAAACGAATGGCTGTCTCCTTTTGCTAAGAAGCTGCCAGTAAAAAGTTTAATCTGGACACTTCTTCCAGGTATATGGACTCTTTTGATACTGAATACTCCCTGAGACCAAACACATTACAGCAGCGTTTCTCAACCTTGGCAGCTCGAAGATGTGTGGACTTCAACTCCCAGAATTCCCCAGCCAGTATGGCTGGCTGGGGAATTCT